CCGTTCCAGTTTTGGGTGAAAAAATGATAATGATAATTATATATCGCGATGTAACTTTTCTGTGCTTATGCTCGTGAAATGTTCCTCTGTTGAAGTTTTCTTCCACTTTCACTGAGTTGCAAAAATCTGCCTTTAAATTTGAAAGAAATAATGATTTGACATTTACCGTGATAATTATCGGTATCTACTGATACAACATTTTTTATCCTGATTAGTCATATCGCCTAGGCCTATAAATAACACACACACACACACACACACACACACACACACACACACACACACACTGAGGCTGGGAGAGTTTGGGTCTGTTTGTTGATTCACTTCCTGTGGACGAGAGAGAGAGAGAGAGGTTTAAGTTTGGGGGGGGGGCGGTCTCTTCTGAATTAGGACTTGTGTTAAGTCTCAGTTGAGGATGATGATGAAGGTTTTATTTTGCTCCTTTTAAAGCCTCAGTGAGCTCTGACTACAAAAGGGAATGTATGTAAAAGCCGGGGGGGGGGGGCGGTGACAGCCTATCAGTGGGAGCGATCACAGACACACACACACATTTACACACACAGACTGGGAGAATGTTTATCCAAGCAGAGCTCCTATTTTCCATCAACCCTCAAATACACATCAGACCTTATAAGGACCAGAACCAGAATCACATTCCTCTCTCACTGTGAGCCGGGCTCTCTCCACCAACTTGCTCTCTCTCTCTCTCTCTCTCTCTACCAACTCGCTCTCTCTCTCTCTCTCTTTCCCTCTCTCTCCTTCTCGCTCTTTCCCTCCCTCTCTCTCTCTGTCCTTCTCTCTCTACCAACTCTCTCTCTCTCTCTCTGTCTGTCCTTCTCTCTCTCTATGTCTCACTTTCAACTCAGTTCACGAGCGTCACTGGCCTGAATGTAACTACACTGCTTCAAAATCATTTGATAACACAAACAATATATTTTAGGGAATGATGTGAGGAAGTGGAGCTGTGTCTCTACCTGCTGTGTCACAGTGAGAGCAGAGTCTGTCCACCGCCGCCCGGTACAATTGTTTACAGCGCTCAGATAATCTGCAAATGTTTCCTCTCTGTTTAAGGATTGACTCCGTGCTTGAGTCTTTTCCTTCCAATGTTTCATGTCGTTTTCTTTTTGATAGTTTGATTTGGTCTAATCGGAGCCAGTGTTGTCCTGAGGTGCTCCTGGCTGATGGATATGATTCTTAATCTCTCCCTCTCTCTCCCTCCCTGTCTCTCTCTCTTTGCTTCTCCAGGATTTCTGCACCCCATGAAAAGCTGTCACATTAGGCCCCTCCTCCACAGCTTCAGCCAACACTGTGATATTTCCAACAACATTTTTTTGTGCTTTTAATGGAGAGATAGGACAGTGAGAGAGTGGGGAATGACATGTAGGAAATGATCGTTCTCAGGATCGTTGGAGGATGGCCTGTCTGAACGCCCCCCACAGGCCGTCTGCTCAGAGGACTAAAGCCTCTGTACATTGAGCACATAATCTAATCACTAGGCTACCAGCGCCCCTCAATGCCTTTGCAAAACATTTAAAAAGAATAAAATCTCTTTTAATGATCGACATTATTGTAAAGTACTGAATCTGTCAAAGAAAGGTGCATAAGTGAAGAAGTTCAGTCCACAAGGGGGCAGAAGAAAGACGAGGCTATGAGAGCCGATGGAGCACAGTGTGATGTTACCAGAAACCATACTGGGCTGTGTTGAATATTATTCAGAAAGTTTATACTGCATGGCGACGGCCTATAGAGCCCCTTCCTCTATTGGGGCCCTGGATATTCAGTCCTACCCTGACCCCCCCTGCGACGCCCCTGGACGGGCTAAATGTTAAATAATGCAGCGCTGATATTCAGAACAACATCCTGACCTCGAGTGTGTTATTACTTTTAATCAACCGTGCTAAAACCATTAAATAAAAGAACAAAACAAAACTAGTCCCATATCTTCACTTAAACACAAACATTTTCATGCACTCTGCTACTTTGACTGTTTCCATGGTTACCAATGGGCAGCTTTGATTTGTGTACATTTACAATGTGTATTAGTTTTAACTCGTCATGAGTGTTTAAAAAAGAGTCTGCTTCATGATTCTGAGGTGGATCAATCGGGACTAACTCTTGACTTACAGTATTCAGAACGCCTGCTGGCCGAGGCGGAGGGATACACAGAGTGAACAGTCCCAGTGATGCTGCAGATCACTCGGTCAGGAATAACTGATGCATTCAAAATAATCAGGGAATATTTGTTTTATAAACATGTGTGTTTTATGTGTTCTATTGTCAGGACTGGCGCTGCTGACGGAGGACTGACAGGGTGCATTATGGGTAAGACGATCACAAGAAAAGGAAGTCCAAATCTTCACACCCCTCCACCCCCCTCCTGCCTGTGGCCCCTGGTGCAGTGCTGCATCTCTGGTCAGTTGGTAGTCTGAGATGAAGCACTGTAGCTCGGGACGTGGGACCAAAACCTCCACCAGGTGAACACGTGTCCAGGTCTCCGAGAGTCCACCTGAGACGGGTCTCTCAGGGGACACAGTTTATCTTTATTCTGTTAAACATTTTATCAACATTATTTGTGAATGTTCTGCGAGTAAAGATGAACTTCAATAGAGTTTGATGAATAATTAAATATGTTCAGATCAACGATGATACAGAAGAGATCCTCCTCTCTCCTAGGGTCCAGTTTTCCCAGGAATCCCTTGACCAATCAGAAACGGGGATTCCTGGAAATACTGTTCTTGGGGGCGGGGCTTTTCAGCAGCTCAGCTTCAACCTGTTACTGTGTGCAGTATGGTCGTATTATTGTGCGTTTGTGTCATGTCACATGTCTATTGTGTGAGTGTACGATTATTGACGAGTTGTTAATATTAAACAAAAGTAAAAATGTTCATGTTGTGATTATTTACAAACTGCAGAGAAACAAAAACAGGTCAGAACATCATCGAGTCCTGATTCCAGAGTAAAGTCCAGAATTAATTTGTAGATAAGGAAGCAATCTTTAAAATCACCGTCTTCACATCCAGTTGAGGGAACACTTAAATAGTGCTTTCAAACTCCAGAGGAGGAGCTGCATGTGTGAACACAGACAGTTAAATTTCCCCCTCAGACTTCACCTGGAGTTTCTCCTCCAGGCTCCTGGTATTTTTTCACTGCTGAAAGTCCCAGTGAGCTGATGTGAGAAGGCATCAGGATATAATCAGGAGACTTCACCTCGAGTCAGTGGGAGGAGGGGGGAGTGACGTCTGCAGAGGCGCTGCTTGTCAACAGGCATGGCAGGCAGCTGCTTGGGGCCCAGAGCCATGGGGCTGATAAACTTAAAAACCACAGCAGCAGCTCAAAATGTGCAAATTCTGCAATGACAGTAGGAAACCTCCCTAAGAGGGCCCCATCTTACAGCACTAACTCATATAATAGTAAATGACTGAATAATACTGGTCCAGCCTGGTAAAGTGGAGAGACACTTTAAAAACACAGCTTCTGATAAGAATGATTGTTGGTGTCAGATTATTTATTACATAATGGGGATGAAACACTGTTTGGAGGGGCCCCCTGTAAATCTCTGCCTTGGGCCCCAACAGACTCCAGAATCACCACTGACTGTCTGCATGCCACCTCTACCATCTCCGTGCTCTAATGAACCTGCTGCATTATGTTTCCTGTTCTGCAGTATGTTCTTCTCCACTCATTGATACAAAGACACATATTCTCATTATGGCGTCATGTAGAGGACTCTGTTGTTTCATCCACTACTTTCACGTCAATGTTTTTTTCAAGTCATGTCTTGCCTCAGGAGACCCCCCCTCTCTTTGTGGGAGAACAAAGACAATCTGAATCAGAATGAAAAAGTCAGCAAACTCTAACATGTATTGATAACATTAATTAATTAAAGACATTAAGTAAATAATCTGAAACATTAAGTCAATAATCTAAAACTTTAAATCAATAATCTAAAACTTTAAATCAATAACCTAAAACATTTAGTAATCAATAACTGGAACAGAGACAAACCGACAGTTCTGATAGTTGACCACATGGTGGAGCTGTTTCCTCCTCTGTTAACAGACACATTTTTAATGAGACAGCTCAGCAGAACAGGAGCGAGCTGAGGCAGGTGTGTCCACAGAGCTCCACCCACACACAGGTTAGGAGGAGGAGGAATCATTGTGACTCTAAATACATCACACGTATTACACGTGTATTTAAACTGTTCTACATTTTGTGCTTAAACTGTCAAAAAAAAAAAATCAAATATTTTTGACAGATGTCAGATGTTTTGCATCGTCTGAGCTACACAACATTTGAGGGAAGCAGCAAACTACAGAGTCAAGCATTAAATGAATCTGATTGGATAAAATATCAGCCATTTGGGTCACGGTGTTTCAGGGACGAGTTGGTGGTGGGTCCTGAGGCTAGACGAGGGACGAACCACTGCTCTAAAAGGCTGAATATAACTTTTTTTAAACCACAGTGAATCTTTCATTAATAATAAATCACCTGCTACAGGTGGTCGTTTTCAGGGTTCAACATGTTTAGGTACTCATAGCGACAGATGATGGATGATGTCCGGCTAAACGCTGAACAGCAGATCAGAACAAAAACTGTGATTTTAGATATTTCTGTCCTTGTGATTAAACAAAGTTTGATGTTTTATTGTTCCGAGTCTCAAACAAAAACAATCTGATCTTAAAGCCTCGTTTCCACCAAAGGTCCCCAGAACTAAAACGCTCAGGGGCTCCTCTTCGAGGAACTAAAAGGTTCCCAAAGTTGACAGCGTTTCCACCGCAGTCCCGGGAAGATTATGTAAATCAGCCTGTATGACTTTGCAAATGGTGTCATTGGTCAACAATGGAAAGGAGACGAGTGCTGTGTTTAGTGTGTCATTACAGGAAAGAGGACTCTGATAAAATGTTACAAGAATTAACAGATACCTCACTCCCTAAGAAACACCTTTTGTGCACGATGCTGTATAATACCTGGAGCTTCACATCGTCACAGTATATGCTGTGCACGGTGCTGTATAATACCTGGAGCTTCACATCATTACATGCTGTGCCAGGTGCTGTATAATACCTGGAGAGCTTCCCATTGTGTTTTAATAAGTGGAGTCCGGAGGTGCGAGTTCTGTCATGTTTTTATTGGTATTTTTGGAGAAGACCATAGGTTTTACAACAGATTTAATAATAATTGAGAGCTCTAAAGAGAGAGGGAGAGTCATTCTACCATCGACTGTTGCCATCGGCTGCTTATATTGTCAACAGGCAAACTCCTAATCACCATAGAAACAAAAGAAAACAAGAAAAAAATCCAACATTTCTGATTTTAGTAAAGAACATCCAGGATTGCATCATTCAATTATTCAGAAACAAAAGGGTTTAACATGTCTTACATTTGGGGAGGAGGGTGGGGGGGTCATTAAGGAAGGGTTGAGGGTGTCAGCTGTCTTTCTTCTTACCTCAGTCTCCATAGAAACCAAACAGACACTTGGGGAGGAGGGAGACAGGATGGAGGGGAGAGGAGGGTGAGTGTTTGTCTGAGGGGAGGGTCTGGGGGCGGGGTTCAGGGGGCTACAGCCTCCACATCCAAAAACAACCTGCCTCTCACTGTGTTTGTTTGGAGTGCAGATTTCTTTATTTACAGGTGAACGTTTCAGCACACACATCGACACACACACGCCGTCTGCCGCTCAGCCAGGAAGAGACACCTGTTGGTCCTGGTCACCAACACTGCTGCACCTCTGCTCAGGGGGGGGTGGGGGTTTTGGGGGGAGGGGGCAGGGTGGGTGGAGTCACACCTCAGAAACCTGCAGAGGTAGAAAAACATGATCAGAATCACAAGTGACATTCAAAGCCTGAGAAAGTTGCAGACACAGAATCACAGATCAGTCCCCCGAGTCTGAAACCTGCAGAAACACGGGGGGAGGAAGAAGAAGAAAAGGTCAGAGGTTAAGAAGAAAACAGGCACGAAGGAAAAGAGTGAAACAGCTGGAGGTGTAAAAAGCAGCATAGTTCCTGGTTCTGGTTTGGAAACACCGATACTGAAGGTGGAGTTTCACTGCAGTCTACTGATTGATCAGAGAGGACTGTCAATCACTGGAGAAACTACAGAGCCCCGCCCACCTGTCAGTTACACACACACACACACACACACACACACACACACACGTTTAAATACCTGACTGACAGCAGGAACTTTATGAAAAGTGGTTTCATATTTCTGTCTGAATGAATCCAACATCAACGCCGCTGTAAGCCCCGCCCCCTGAGAGCAGGTTCTCTCTGCAGTAAAGTATTCTTACCCGTGTTTACACCTCATACAAAAACAGAAGGTTTTAAAAACAGGTCCCATAGTGCAAAGTTTTGAAAACAGCATCGTGTACACTGTTTAAAAAAGGAACAGCAGTTTAACAGTGGCCTTACGCACATGTGCGTTACGCTGCCATACAAAGGCCAGGCGCGAGTAAATGGACGACTACAACGATGGCGGACTCCTGAGTTGTGTTTGTGCTGCTCACTCTGTTGACATTTATTTGAAATTGACTTTTGGTAGTTTAAAGTCACTTGGAGTATCAACCCCAACTCATCGTCCATCCACACAAACATTCTTGTTGTCTCTATTTTCTGTACATTAACACCTTGCCGCTCTGTAGAAGAGTGTGTGAGAATGTGCGTGATGTGGCATGTGTAGGACAGCGTTTATAGTCGTTATTGCAGAGCTGTGTGCACCATGGATGAACTTTAAGACCCTGTTTTCAGAGGATTGTTGACGTGTAAATGTGACCTAAAGTCAGAAGAGATGACCCCGTGTGTGTGTGTGTGTGTGTGTGTGTGTGTGTGATGCATGTACAAGAATTCTTGACTTAAGCCAGTGTAATGCAGCTCAGTTGAACAGCGACACCTGCTGGTTAAATATGGAAACACTAAAAAGCTGACTCTAGTTTTACACTTCATACGCCCAAATATGAAGAGCTAATGCTAACAAACATGCTAACTCTGAGCGTCATTTTAAACACACCGTCATGTTGAATCAAGTTAATAGTCACATTTAAATCTACTGTCAGCCTCCTCCACGCTAACCACAGAACAATGTACCCGTGTACCTGTTACATAAAGCAGAGGTGTACTGAAGAGGCCAACTTCAACAGCTGAAGGAATGATGTCAGTAACAAAAGCAGATACTGAGATCACTGACTAAAGGGAGAGTTTTCAGGGCGCAGGATCTATCACTGATCACACACACACACACACACTGAGCTGATGGTGCTAGACAGTTTCAGGCTGTTTCAGACAGAAACTCCGTGTGTGCATGTGTGTATATACAGGACGTGCCTGAACTTCTTTAATGAGTGTTTGGCCTCAGGAGGTTTTCAATGGGTGAGGTTCCTCCTGACATCAAACACACAAACTCACAGATATCTGATATAGACCTCTCCTGTGACGTTCATGGTGCTGATTTAGACGTTCAGGGATGCTTCTTGTAAACGTCGTCGTCTGAGGTACTTGTCAATATGCTCTGCCTCTTGATTGAGAAAGAGTGCAGGTACAGAAGCTAGGCTGTACATGGCTTCAGACGATGTAAGTGATGCGAGTGTACGCTGTGTGTAGAAATTATTCAGCAAGCCACTTTATTTTTAAATTACACACGTTCCTCCGCCTGCAGCGCACCCTTCAACTCTTTGATTCTGTGGACTTACAAACAGGACAGGCTGTTAGACAACAGGTTGAATCAAACTAACAGCACAGCGACAAAATTGGCCTAATTGTATAGTTTCCTATTGGAGGGTCCAAACCGCCAGCGAGTGATGCAGCATGCCGTTTTTAAACCGACACCCCGTTTGTATATTCCTCTGTCGCGCAGACGGACGAAGAACGAGGAAGTAGGAGGCTCTGGTGGATAAGTGGCAAACATGTTTAGCTTTGACCAAGTCAACAGCTGATCTGATCAATACAAAGCACCACACTTCAGTCTGTCCACCATCAAAATAAAAGCACTAGATGTCATACGGTTTCCAAGGGGGAAGAGAAATTCACAGAGCAAAGAATTAAGATATTTAACGGATGCAGTGTGGACAGCGAGCGGGCCATAAGGGGCGATTATACGCAATATCTAACGCTTGTGTGCTGTTGGGACACGGTCTAAGAATAAGCGAATTTCACAACGACTATGGCGTGCTGTTGAGGGAGAAACTGCAGGACAGGAGAGATCCAAAGTTACCTGGTGGTGTGGGTGTGTAAACGGTGAGCTCATATCCACAAACTGAGAGAGCTCTGAGTGGGACTTGGTAAAAACAGTCCTATGGGATTCTTCTGGTTCAGAGGATACCAGCGGCTCACACGCCTGCAGGTCTTACCATCCAGAGCTCACTGCTTACTGAACGCTGGGGTTTTTACCCACCTTCTAATTTATACTACCGGTAATTAAATTGAATAAACAAAAAACAGGAAAGCTGAATGGAAATATATTTTTAAAAGTAAGTTTTTAGCTTAGCATGTTTTTTTATTGCATAATGAGTCAACCCCGTGAGCCACACGACACTACCTTATCAAAATGCACTGAGGAAAAGTGAGGACAAAAAGCCTACAGCCTTTACTGTGCAGTATATCAACCTGTTTGTTGATAAGGTTTGTATCATAACATCGTGTATAAAATACTGGGATGAAGACGATCCTGACCCACATGTGTCAAAACACCTCCCCTGTGTCATCATGAACCAGGATCTCCTACTACTTCCTCAGTGTGTTCTTCCAGTTTAAACACACCTGACCTACAATCTAACTTGACTGTGATCCTCCCCAGGACCTTATTTACAACCCTTATGCAGGAGATGGGCCCAAAGAGGTGTATTAAACTGTAACACATTCCCACAAACATTTTGAGGGAACATATCGCCGCAGATGGTGAACTGAAGCAGTTTCTTTACTGATGCCTCGTAGACATTTAATTCAACTCAAAATGTTACAAAACATTGAACAGATCCACATCATCATAAACATCCAATCAGAGTTATGTGTGCTTGTTAATATGTAAAATGATGAACATTACATAAACTTCTGCCTCACATTTCCCAGCGCTGTCTGAATGTGTAAGACACTTCTCCATGTACGGCATCTGCGTGCAGGTTGTGTGCTCAGGGTTTTATAGATCTATTTTTATTTTATTTTTTCCCCATTATCTCGTTTTGTGCTTATGTATACATTAAGATTCTATGCCGTTTTATAAATGAGACCCCAGGTCTGGACCAGGTCCAACAGCTGTCTCCGAGTCTGCTTCAGGAGAAAACAAAAAGTTAATGTTGATGCTTTAATACAACATGTTTGCATTGAATAACTGAACTGTTTTATCAAAGAGAATATAAAGTCAGAGCGAGAAAGTGACACTGAGATGTGTCATGTTAGTTTTTTTTGTCTCTCTCTCTCTCTCTCTCTACTAATATGTCCTGCTGTCCGAACAGTCACCATGTGTTAACGTCTCTCAGCTGTGACAACAAACAGAAACTCACAGCGCTCAGAGGAACACAGCTCGCTGCAGATTATCTGACCATATTTATTTACTGATTTTTCAGGTGTAAACAGAACATCCATACTGGATGTTTCTTTAGCAACCGCCACTGAAATCTTCCCGAGTTGCTTAGTCATACACGTCCCTGTCAGACATTAGGGGTAGGTGGGTCTCAAGACTCGGGATATGATGCGATGATGCACTGCAGAAACCCAAAAATGGCTAACGAAGCAACAGAGTCTGCCAACATAATGACACTTTCTGTTTTATAGCAACGCACCGTGTAATCAGACTTCACACCTAGCATTAAAGAACATACTGGCAAGCAGAAAGAGTATGAAGCTGCTTCATTATATGATCAAGCTCCTGGCTCACTAATGTAAATGTCATCAAACCTCCTTCTGCTTTCACTCATCAACTCACCTCAACATTTTACTACAGCGCTGGCTGTAAGGCCGGGGAGAAAAATGCGGCTATTTATGTTCACACATGCAGAGCTTTCTGATTGTTGTGCATGTCTGAAAACAAAACGAAAGAATACATATTTTTCGGTTTGTTCTCAGATATTTAAGATCAGAGCCTCCTCCAATAAGTGAGACGAGAGTTTATAGTTTACATTGTTGATGACAGGTAATCTAATCCTGTATGACTGAACACTGACATATTGCCTTCTGTATGTAACACACTGAGCTGAGAGATGTCACAGAGTCAGTGTTTCCTTTTAATCCTGACACATTATTATTATTTATCAACACACAGGTAGCCTCCACCTGCAGTCCAGGTGTGTGACTACCCTCACACAGAGAGAACAGTAGAAAAGGTGAGGCAGTAGAGTAAGACAGACTGCAGCAGAGTCGCAGTGTGGGATTAAAGCAGAGAGCCCGTCGTCCAGCCCCAACACACCAACAGAAGAGCAAGGCAGCAAAGTTAGTAGTCAAATTCCCCAAGGACGTCTTTGCTTCTGCAAGACAGACCAATTGTGTCTGATTTTATTTGGATTTGTTTGAGTGTGCCTCCTCAGACTGATGAAGATGTTGGTCTTCATCATCCAGCAGGAATTGTACTTTTCCAATCAGCTGTTTTTATTTTTTTTATTTTTGTTTTTTTTTTATAAGGGGGCACTGGGCTGTGGTCAGGGAGTCACACCATCCCTGATAGTCCTAAATACACGAATAAAACAAGCAATTGGTGTCTGTAAAACGTCGCTTGGCTGTTTGCTACTAACCTTTCATGTTAGGCTTGGGTTTGTCAGTTTGCTTGCCTGTGGGGGTTTGTGCCTGCTGGCCCTGGCCCCCGGAGGAGGCCCCCTGCTGGGCTGCTTTCTGTTTCAGCATGGTCCAGTCAAATGTGTAGTCATACTGGTGGTTCAGAGTCCTGAAACACACACACATATCAAACACAATGTTTACAACTATCAGCTGTTTGGAGGATGAGGTAGGGATCAAGGACAAGGAGCGGGAGATGCTGGAGACAGGGAGGGGAAATAGGAGAGAATAACAGGATCATAACATAAACAACTTTCAGTTTTTTTCAGCTGAAACATTTCATCACACAGACACACTGCAGCTGGGATGTACCTGAAGAGGATGCGGAACAGCTGGCGCAGGTACATGTAGTCTGGAGCCTCCTCGAAACGCAGGCCGCGGCAGTAGTTCAGATACATGGCAAACTCTGCTGGGAAACCCTGGAACATGAATAAATATCATGAAGCAGAGTGTGTGTGTGTGTGTGAGGAGAGATACCTGTGATTCACCTGTTCTTACCTTACACAGGACCTCCACAGGGGTGGACATCTTCTTCTCCGAGATCTTCTCATACTTCTGCTTCTTTGTTGCAGCCTAAAACACGCACACAAAAACATTCACACATCACTGAACCGATAATAATAAATAAACTACAATAATAAACATTTACACTTTAGAGGTAAGGAAACATGTGCTAGACAGGTGTGTGTCTCACCTTTAAACCCTGCCAGGGCAGACTGGTTCTGTTGAAGTACATCAGCACGTAGCCTAGTGACTCCATGTCGTCACGGCGACTGCACACAATAACACAGTGTAAGCTTTTCAGTAGACCAGCAGTGTAATCATGTATGTAATGTTTTTTTATTTGTCACAGGATGAAGTGAAACAGGTGGTGTTACAGGTGTGGCATACCTCTGTTCGATGCCCAGATGTGCGTTGATGGAGGCGTAGCGTGCAGTGCCGGTCAGGTTTTTGTCTTCTCTGTAGGGGATGTGCTGTCGTGTTCGGTTATCTCGGTACTTCTTCGCCAACCCAAAGTCAATAAGGAACAACTGAAAGAGAGAGAGACGACACAAGAGGGTTATCCTTCAGTCACACCGCACCAAAAACATTAAATATCACATCAACACACACAAGTGTGTTTTTCTTACACACATCATTTTACTGAGATCATGTGCAGGAGAACCATCATTTCAACACAGGACTTAAACCTGACTCACAATTTAAACTGGGTGTTTCAATCACTTCCTCTCTCGTCCTCTTTTAGTTCATGAACCATCCCCACAATGTGGTGTTATTGTTGCAGAAAGTTTGAACTAAATTGTCTTTTACTGTGATTTCTGTGTGCACCATAAGCAACCTTTTTTCTGTGAAAAATGCAAACTCTACATTTTGTAGAACACAAGAGTACCATCTTTGTTCCATTAATACTGTGTCAGGCTGCGACACCTCAGTGTTTTGGTGAACAGGTTATAAGCCCCATCCCCCACAACATTTATTCTACCTGTTAACTCTCTACCAACGACAGCATGACAGTGACAAACAGGGTCTGCTCAGTGAGCAGGGACTGGTCTAACACCTGATGTAACAAGGAGACCATCATCATACCATAGACCAGCTCAACAATGAGTGTGTGCGTGCATGTGAAGAACAAAGACAGAAACCGCAGAGACTCCTGCAACAGCAGAGAGACACCACAGAATACCTGTGCACAGGTGATGTCACGGTGAAAACATGATAATGTTTTATATGAGGTGTCCTCATTAAAAAGCTTATAAACGTGTCACACAGGTGTCCTCATGATTAAAGATGTATACAGGTATCCTCATTATTAAAGATGTATACAGGTGTCCTCGTTATTAAAGATGAATACAGGTGTCCTCATTATTAAAGATGTATACAGGTATCCTCATTATTAAAGATGAATACAGGTGTCCTCGTTATTAAAGATGTATACAGGTATCCTCATTATTAATGAATACAGGTGTCCTCATTATTAAAGATGTATATACAGGTGTCCTCTTTATTAAAGATGAATACAGGTGTCCTCATTATTAAAGATGTATACAGGTGTCCTCGTTATTAAAGATGTATACAGGTATCCTCATTATTAAAGATGAATACAGGTGTCCTCGTTATTAAAGATGTATACAGGTGTCCTCGTTATTAAAGATGTATACAGGTGTCCTCATTATAAAAGCTGTATACAGGTGTCCTCATTATTAAAGATGTATACAGGCATAATCATTATAAAAGATGTATACAGGTGTCCTCATTATTAAAAATGTATACAGGTGTCCTCATAATGAAGGGGGTCATAGATGTGTCTTGCCACAGTGATTCATCACTGTGTGTTGCATGTAAAAAACACCTGTTTATGAACACTGTATGTGCAGCACTGTGCCAAAACATCCCTTCTAACAGCCTGTACTAAACCAATGTGTGGAGTCCAGACCTCAGTTCACCAGGCTACTTACTGTGCCACCTAGTGGGCGCTGTTTATGGTCCCTTCACACAAACTGTCCTATTGAATTAATCTGTTATGTTATTTGTTAAAAGCAAACAAACCTCAAAACAAGCTACATGACACCTAAAGATCAACACTGCCCATCCCCTTAAACATGTTACAGTAACTGCGCTGCTTCAGGTAAATGTTCACCTGTCCTTAACCTACACCTGCAGATATTATGATAAGTATGACCCGCTTATGAATTCAATTAATTGTAGAGCCGTCAGAAGTGTCTTTTTGTTTACAACTTCATGCAGCACAACAAAACATTTCAACAAAAATCAAACCCAGTTCAAATCTTACAAATAAAACACAAAAAAGTCACATCAATAAAGAATCTGATGTTTGTGCAGCAGAAGCAGCAAGTGAGCGGGGCAGGCTAAGTCTTAGTGAGGAACCAGATGTTTAGTCTTAGTCTAACCCAACCCTGACCCCTGTTACAGCAGGAGCTGGGTTTTTGTGATGCTAATTGCCAACCCGGTGCATGATGAAGCATGTGAGGCTAATGCTAAATGATGGTGAAGCACATGAAAGCCATGAAACATTAGTCTTGACTTACAGCTGAGCAGAGACATTAAAAACCGACAGTTATCATTAACTGCTCTGAAATCAGCTGTGAGTGATTGTGTGTGTGTTTCCAGGGAAGCAGGTGAGCAGGTGAGATGGAGGCAGGCACTGGGACACACGCTGAACTGAAGCTCTTGTTATGGGTCTGTGTGTGTGTTTGTGCAGTTATTCACCTTATCAATAGAATAAACAGCAGAGACACTCATCACACAGACTCTAAGAGTGTGTGTGTGTGTATGTGTGTCTAACGGTACAGTTTAAATGATCTGACTGGCACACTGTTTGACACTTTCATGACACACTGATCTGAAACAACTCTTCTGATCTCATACACACCTCATCTAGACTCTGAGACTAAGTATATAATTTTTTTTATAGAAACACTGTTCAATAGAATTCACTTTTTATAAATAAATGTGTTATTATAATATTATTATCCTTAATTGTCTCTTGGCATTTTGATGTGTACTGCAGAGCTTCTTTCTCTCCGGATGTTTCTGTTATGTATCAATAAGTATGATTGATAAGTTTGATTAATGTTACACCATCAGATCTGAGTCTCAGTCGACAGAGTACAGTCTTACACTGACAGATCTCTGAGGGTTGTATCTCCTTTAATCTGAATCTCATTCTAGCTTCAGACAGACAGACAGACAGACGTGTCTAACATGTTGGTGAGGAACCATTAGAGGGACTGGGAGCATACAGAGACTTTATTTGTTGTCTTAGTCTGTGGTGGAGGTCTACACTGTCTGTGGGTTAGCTTTGGTAAGTGAAGGCTGGGTGCTGCTGGTCTGACTGGAAACCGGTGTGGTTAATATGACAGCGAAGCGACAGCTGCTGATGTGCACAGCTGGTGTTGTGGTAAAGTCACACCTGGTTTAATCCTGAGAAAGGTGGATCCTGAGAAGAGCTAACAGCCAAGCTTCTTTTCCTCTTCCCCACTGACGAGTCATAACACTAGGGCACACAGTAGAGGGGAGGGGTCAAATCAACAGCCTCTGTCTGTCAGTCACATTAGCATCAGTCTGCTCCAGAGTCCCTCACCTGCACACACACCTGAGAGGACTCATGTGATCATCCAGAACAGAAGAAACCACAGACTGTAGTCCTCTCCTGTCAGGACGACACATGAACCTCCACGTCTGACTGTGACAGAGAGCCAGAGTGGGTGGGGGGGTGGGGGGCATGGCTGGCTTTTATCCATCAGCAGAAATACATTAATCATAAATATCTACAGACAGACAAAGCTCTAACAGGCCAGAAAACTTCACTTTTCTGTCTGCAGAACATGAACGCACACCTGCAGCTAAGGTGTGTTGACATGATTATTATTTATACTTTAGAGTCTTTTACTCGGCACAGACAGAGAGAGAGAGCTGCCGTCTGTGGTTAATCAAGATAGATACCGACACACAAGTAACAGACACTAATCACAGGTTTAATTTTTACTACAGGTGGGTTAGTACTGGAGGAAAATGTGAAATTCACTGTAACCTGAAACTATACTCTTCAATTCTTTATCTGCATCAGTGAACACAAGCTGCAGGAGAAACAGCATGTCTGACTGTAAACTTTACAGACTGTCTTAATGTAGCCTGAACATTAAAACCTTGAATAAACCTGTGTCACCTGTATATCACTGACACTTCCAAGTCTGTGAGCTGAGCTAATGCTAACGTAGCTGACAGTGACCTGACATGAAACAGTAAAACCTTTAATATCCAGCTTAATGTTACTTCTAGTGTAAACTGAGATAAAGGAGAGTCAGACCGAGAGGCTGGGGGTGTCTGAGGAGTGTGAGGTAATGAAAAACAATTTAGGAATGAAAAGTTAAATTTTCATACAGAACAAAGGAATCTGATTGGACATGAACCTATGCAGCACAGAGTTTGTTTGTTTAAAAGGGATTAAAAGTCAACATAGTCTCAAGAACAAAGCATCAAAGTACAATCTGTCCAAACATGTGGACAAAGTACAACATAGTACTCTTGTTGTGACACAGGTACATCAGAGGCTGCAGGAGAAAATATCCAGATCAGCAGCAGACTCAGAGTAAACATGCTGTCACAGCTCTGAGGTCTGATCCAGGATCAGATTTTAGGACTGAGAGGACACACCTGAAATGGAAAGAATTTTTTTTTCTCCCCCCAACAGGTGCAGAGAGCAGCATAGCCCTGCGTTAAGCTAACATGCTATTACAGCATGGAGATGCTATGCTAACAGGGCTAAGAACGACGAGGACAGGAGACAACACAGCTTTCCAGCAGTATAGGTGTGTCTGTCAGTTAACAAAAACACAGCCGTGTGCTCTCTATGAATCCACGGATTAAGCTGTGACATAAACAGGTGTGTGTAAATAAGAAATCAAAACATCACTCTGACTAACACTGTACTATCACAACCAGCTCTCATCAGGAGCTGCAGCTGACTTAAACACTGAGCAGGTGATTAAACATTCAAACACATCTGAGGTTATTGACTAACTGTTACACAGCAGTCTGTTATTACTCCTACAGTAACACAACTCATTCATATTTCACACCGACTCAAACACATCTCAGTGATAGTTTGATACCTATTCGAGTTTCATTCAAACTTCAATCTTTATTATCAAGATACAACTTGACCTAACCGTTTCTTCTGTTCACTCTTTAATTCTACAAGCCACTGAAGTGTAGATCCATCACAAGGCTTGATTCATGTGCCAGTGTATGAATCTAGAGTAAAACACAGGTGAGTCATGTTAATAGACTGTACTCGTATAGCCCTTTCCTAGTCTTTTAACCACTCATCATACATTCACACACTGATCCCCAAACTGCTCCACGGTGTTATAGCCAGCAGAGTCTCGACGACCCGCTCTACCACTGAAGCACAGCCACCCCTGAATGTAAAATGATGAATGATTGCTGTATGCAGGCACACAGTCACACCTCCTCAAACAGTGATCTATTCAACTAGTAAAGATGCACACACATTCACACAGGTTGCATTGGAGCAGTCAGACCTGTTCAGGCACAGCTTGCTGTGTTCGGACTCGTCTGTTTAAAACAAAGAGTCTTTAAGGTGTGGCCTGAGTCATACCACATGAAAAAGTTTCTGAGTGTCTGACGTGTACCTCATCCTAAAAAACACTTTCTAAAAGAAAGACAAACATGTCAGAGATTCCCAGAATCTAACAGTGTGGAGCTGCACTGTCACTCAATAAGAGTGCAGGCTGTTACCCAAAGACTTTCACTTATAACAGTCAGTTAATGTCTGAATGTAAATGTTTAAGTTGAGACAGGTGATGGTAATTAGTCACATCATGTGTGATTCACTGAACACTATACACAAAGATCTTGACACATATACCAACAAAAGAAATTGACTAGAGCAGGACTACAGTCGTACAAAAGTATGTCTCCACCTTAACAGCTAGACCAAAGCCTGACATTGGCCTGTCTACAGCCAGACTACTGACTGACTACAACCGCGACAGGTACAGCCAAACTGTCTGAAGGAACAGGTACAGTACAGGCAGAATGCTGCAGGGACAGATACAGGCAGACAGTCTGCAGGGACAGGTACAGTACAGGCAGAATGCTGCAGGAACAGGTACAGCCCGACCGTCAGCAGGGACAGGTACAGCCCGACCCGTCAGCAGGGACAGGTACAGCCCGACCCGTCAGCAGGGACAGGTACAGGCAGACCGTCTGCAGGGACAGGTACAGGCAGACAGTCTGCAGGGACAGGTACAGCCAGCCAGTCTGCAGGGACAGGTACAGCCAGACCGTCAGCAGGGACAGGTACAGGCAGACCGTCTGCAGGGACAGGTACAGGCAGACAGTCTGCAGGGACAGGTACAGCCAGACAGTCTGCAGGGACAGGTACAGCCAGACCGTCAGCAGGGACAGGCACAAGTACAATGATCCGTCTGCAGACACAACCAGGATCATTTACCAGGATCATCTGGTCTTTGGCAGGTGTTTCTCACCAGTAAAGGATTGTTCCCATTTCATCTTAACCAAATGTTGTCTGTCTGCAAGGGCTTAACACTCGCGCACACACACAAGCACGCACGAGTGCTTTTAAGGGGACTTCACACTACATACTCTGTCCAAAGGGGACGCCAAAGTTCAGACAAACTGAAAGATCCTCGTGGCTGCTTCAAATTAGATATCTAATGTGTGATAAAGACTGCAAAATCCTTTTGTTATACAACTCTCATCTTCTTTGTAACTGGAGCAGAGCAGCATTCTAGTACTAAATATATTGTTAAAAAATGTCCTAAAACATCAAATATCACCAGAGGCTATAGTCCTGGTCACAGTCTCAGCCCTTTGCTGCATGTCATCCCCCCACTCTCTCCTAACATTTCCTATCACTCTCAGTTGTCCAATAAAATAAAGGTTAAAAAAGACCTTCTGATTGTCTATTCCTTTTTTCTTTTGAACAACCAAAACTCGAGATGAAATCTGATCTGATGGCTCTGATGACTGATCACAGCTGAAATAGATTAGAGATTAATTGTTTAATCAGTAAACAATAATAATAAAGGGGTGTATGAGCAAGTTTGAAACATCCGACTCTTGTGTTTCTTCTTTATCCTATTGTTTGTATTACGATCTCTACAGGATACATCTCCATACACTCACTCATTCATGTGGAGTCTTGACGTGTGCAGAACCTGTTTTCTATTTACCTTTAAATGTTGGTCTTTACAAACCAAAACACTCAAAGTGCAAAGATGAAAACCTGCTGAATCTCACACCTGAGTCTGCTTCATCTGTAAAGTGTGGTTAAAGGATTCGTTCAGAAAAAATGTACTAATATATGTTCGCTGTTTGCTGCAGCATCACTCAAAGACTTGTTGAAAAAAAAATGGAAATAAAGAAAATCCGGACATAAATACAAAGAAAAACAGTGGCTGTGTCCGCAACCACATACTGCTTACGTTGCGCTAGCTCGACCGTTAGCAACATACTACACTACTACATATTCAAGTATGAAAGTATGTGGTTATGGACCCAGCCAGTGACTGTAGAAAAGTACTGCCTGTCTATAAAATGTAGGTCTGAGTACTTACTGTGTATTTGTGTGTTTTGAGACTCTGTTGTACCGGCAACACACTGAACATTGGTTATGAAAATGATTTGACATTATTGTGTACTTGTGTTAAAACAGCTCGTGCTACAGCAGCTGTAATTCAGAGTATTCTGGATCTGATAAGTGAGGAGAGCTCAGGCCTCTTAGGTGAGGACATTTGTATTCTGTAGAATGAAGTCATTAAAGTCTGACAGAGTTTCTATGTCAGATATGACACATGATGGACAGACAAAAAATAGAGTGTACTGTGGTGTCACCTCTTAAACAATGCTGTGACTTATTACCTGAATGTAGATTAATATTTGGGCGTCAGCATGTGAGTGATAGTCTCATATTGGTAAAAAAAAAAAAACTTCACATGAAGCTGTTCTTTGAAACAATTTAAGATGTTTCAGTTTAATTGATTAGTGCTTTTAGACTGAAAAACCTGCAGACCTGCTCTCCGACATGGTTCTCTAAAGTTCTACCTGCAGAAACCAATCAGTGTATCAGAGATCAGAGTATCAGCGAAGAGCCAATCACGCTCCTTTTTTTTTTGCATTACTGTACTGCAGGTTAAAGTCAGATTATTAAAAACTGGAACATGAACTACGCAGTGTTAACATCTAACAGCACTCAAGATAACCTCAGGACTGCTGGGTTACCATGGTAACTATGCTACTTGTGTAATAAGTCACATGGTGCAGGTGTTTAGCCTTACCTTGTTACAATGACGGCCGATGCCCATAAGGAAGTTGTCTGGTTTGATGTCTCTGTGGATGAAGTTCTTTGTGTGTACATATTCAATTCTGCTGATCATCTGAGGAAGAGGAGAATGTCAAAGGTTAGCATTTCATTTAATGATCATTATCACAGCCAGGGTCAGAAATTAACACCAGCCAAGGGCACAATGTGGGTTGTTTTTCAGTTTGGCAGGCAATTTTAAAGGGCTATCCTCCACATGTTTATACAGTCAGTCATGTTGAAAACTATGCTGAGTATTAAGCTAGCTGGGGAACTAGCTGCAGCTACTTTTCACTGCTCCTTAGCTGTCTGCACGTCAGAGTACCACTGGTCATGATCTGGTCTAGCGCCGGAGCATGAGCAGTCACATACACACGCATCCAATAAGGGGATAGGAGTTAATGTGGGACCCTGCTCACAGTTTTCTTAAAAACATTTAGGTGGTCGTAGAACGACATTTTCAACCAAAGGAGAAGGAAGAAAAAAACAAATGGATTTTCCCAGTAATGGTTTCATGGTACAGTTTGCCATCACATCAGTATTTTTCTGAGAGCGCTCTGTCTGGCTTCTACAAGCATGTATAAGAACATCTCTGAGCTGAGTTAATGGCTGTAAAGGCGATGAGCTTCATGACATTTGCCCGTTGACAGTAGACTCTACTGATTGGAAACGAGCTGCACAACGCGCAGTGACTCGTTTCCAGCTGCCATCAAGAAATGCTTGATCAATTCAGGAAAGTTCATGTCATTTTGAGAGTTAATTCTAGCAAAATGAAAAAGCCCTGGACGCTGCTTAACGAGGGATCAATGTGACAGCAGCGGTGAAGTGATGCTATTCAAGTGGTATACAGACGGGGCTGGGCATTTACAGTCATCTAAATCTCAGGTACTCACATTACCTCATGAAAAAGTACTCAGGATACAGACCGCTATGGGAGCACATCTCCAGTCAACGTTATTTTGTTATTAGCTTATCTGGACACACAAGGCTAATCTTCTTCGCTCTGGTATCATCACTAACAGGGCAAGCAAATGATGTGACATGAGACCGCCTGATGACTGTCTTCACTGGTTTCTCCATCTGCTTAAAGCTCATGTGGTTAAACATCGACCTGATATTTCTATTAAAGCACGTTTAACTCCACTTACATTGCACTGCACGTTATGGTAGTCCTGTTTTGTAAATATGATTTCATGTTTGGAGTATTAATGTTTCTAATGTAAGGTCTAACATGGACTTTGTGTCATGTGTGTGTTACCTGGTCTGCCAGCATGAGGACCGTCTTCATGGTGAAGCGACGGGAGCAGAAGTTGAACAGATCCTCCAGACTGGGTCCCAGCAGGTCCATCACTAGGACATTATAGTCCTTCTCCTGTCCATACCACCTGCACACACACACAGTTTATCATTAGGGTGGGGCTGGTCTGTGGAGGGATGGGAAGCAAACACACACGCTGACTGAACTAAATCTACGGATGTTACACTGCCTCCTATTTAATAAAAATTTAAAGGGGTTGTTTGATTGATATGTGACCGAAAACAACTGGAAACAACAAGAAGGCTGTAAGTGTCGCTCCTGGACTGGACTCAATAAAGTTTATGTAGTTTATAACAAACAGGAAATGGAAGTCTTAACTCTCCTTATATCATGCCCAGTTGGTCAGGAGTCAAACAAAACAGTGTTTTAATCAACTTATCAATCCTTTAATATCACTGACAATAATCATATAGAACATAAAACATGTCACTATATAACTCTAAGGACTGTCTGTTTAAACTTGTCTGACACTTCAGTTTTAGACCTCTGAAAACACATTGAAGAGTGTCACATATCCCACTCACTTCAGCAGGATTTTTTGTGTTGTTCTCAGAAAACAATGTTGTTTGGCACAGCAGGGTTTCAGGCAGGAAATGTGTACTAAGCCAAATCAAACAAACATGGAGGACAGCGAACATGACACAGAACGGGTCATTCAGGACTGAACCTGAAATATGGAACTGTTTACACAAGTCGGACCTGGGTCCTGTACGATGAACGAGGGGAACATACCCAGGGTATCTTTTTGGTTATTTGGCTTCACTAACCCTGACAACTGAGATCACACTGACAGTTCACATGAAGCTGTCAAGAGTCTCTCGGAGCATTTTCACACAAAACGAGTGATGTCAAACTGAGCCGATACAATAAATAAAGTGCTGCATTAAGTTTGTGTCTGATAAGTACAAAGTGTTGTGCTTTGATCAGCCTGTTGTAGGATAACATCCAGTAAAGCACAATGTTTATATTTAATATGAAAATCTAACACAAATACTGAGTGTGTGCCAGCTTCTCTCCCCTCTCATGAGCAGATCAGAGATCTCTGATCAGCTAGTAGGCAGGTCAGGTGTTCAGCCAAAGTGAACACGGTGAGTTAACCAGGTAAGTTGACCACCTTCGCAGTCCTGAATACCCGAAATTTACACCAATAACAACTTATCTTTGCTTTAACTAAGCTTTATTATGCAGACTCCAAACAGACTCAAACATGATAAACTCTTTTTAATGTTTTCTGACTTCACTTATTATGGAGAGAAAAAAAACATACCCCTCATGATTACTGATGCGATTATTGAGAGACCATCTTATTTATCCCAAGCCCGAAACCAGCTTCTTCCTCTTACAAACTTGTCAGATGTAAACAAATCCACTCAGCTCCTAAAACTCACTAACATTGTTTATCCAAACACACTTTAAGTCAGAGTTCTAAAAAGTACAGCAAAGTAAGCAGACTCTTTTTATATCCCTTCTAAACTAGCTGATGTCACCCATGAGGAATACCAGTTATCACACTGTGCCCTTAGGATGGCTGTAGGGACAGGTAGGGCGTGATGGGGGCGGCAGGGGTTTGTTTTGTTGATGTATTCTTCGTGTACAGTCCGAAAATATGACTAATTTCTACCTGTAAGTACAACAGATAAAAAGTGGGAATCACAACTCATCTGTGTAGTGAGTTTACCACTCAGGACTGAGGCCAGCAGTCACTCAAAGCTGCGGGGCCGGGGTACAGCAGGGGGTGACTACAGGGGGAGACACACTGAACGTCCAGAACAAAGTTTCTCAAAAGTAGGTGAAGTTAACAACAACTGAAGCGGAGTTATGAAGTTAAGAGAATGCTTATCAAAGCAGCATTTATCCGTATTAGGTCGCCGTCTAAGATCGATAAAGTAGTAGGACGCAGACAATTTCTTTGATGAAAAATAATTGGTATTAAAAATGTGTCTTATCTGGGTGCACATAGTTAAGCAATTAGGTCACGCCCGATGTAGGGAGGCTATAGTCCTCAAAGCAGATGGCCCAGGTCGAATCAGGCCTGGGGCTCCTTTACTGCATGTCATTCCCCCTCTTAACTGAAAAATCACAAAACTATGTTGTCTCCAATAGCTGGAAGGCGTCAGCGGCCAGTCTAACCAGTCACTCGCATTTTAAAAGTATACTGCGTGCCTTTGTTGTCATTATAAATCATTTATCTTTCACCGTCGTTATGCTACTGCTCTGTGGGCCTTTGAATTGCACCCCGGGGGAAAATTATTTTTGAATTGAATCATTTTAGGTTGAAACCTTTAGAAATGCCTCTGAGCCTCAGTTTAACCAAATGCTGGTGTACTGAATCAATGTGCAGCATAATGACGTTTTTACTTTAATTAAAAAAAAGAGAGTTTATGACAACACAGAGTTCAGTTTGTTAAAATAGTAAAGGTGTTATAACCTGAAACAGAGCATTAATCATGTATTCAACCAGCTGGGCTCTGATTGGTAAAGAACCGTTTATGAACTTTAATTCACAACCAACATATGGTTTAAAATATATTAGAATATGACAGTTTATGTTTTACATCTAAATGTCTGTGTTGTACAGGTTAAAGGAGCATTTCACCATATAAAGAACACTAATTTCTAGGGCTGGGGATCTTCGGGTGTCTGAAGAGTCGATTTGATTTCCTTTCTTGGGGTCATGATTCGATTGAGAATCGATTTAAAACGATTCTGGATCATGGATTCAAAGTCTATTTTTGAATTAGTACATACTTCAGGATCTACTCCAGTCATCTGTGAGACTGGCTGAATTTCTTGCTGCTCCATTTGGCATTCTACTGAGTTAAAGAGCTAGCATTAGCACTTAGCAGGGAGTGACTGATTACCCCCAAAAAAAGAAGAAGTTATGAATCTATTTAAAATCTCAGTAGCTAAGAATCTCGATTTTTACATAAATCACCCCCCGCCTCAACCTCTACTAATTTCACACCCGAGTCTAGTTCTCCACAGGACGGAGTCACCTGTTAGAGCAGCAGAAACTGCATGTGTAAGAAAGACAGGTTGTAGTCTGGGTGGGGGAGGGTCAGCAGGACCAGCAGGTTAAACAGGCTGCAACAACATGAAGCTAGTATAGCCAGTCTACAGACCCCAGCACAGTCCCTGAATGCAGCATAGTGTGGCACTCCCTCATGATACATTCATGGTCCTCTGAGAAACTGTACTATAATGTTTATTATAACAGGTCGTCATGTTTTAACCGGCTTTAGTTTAACAGGTGATCATCATATTATAATCTGCTTTAATTTAACAGGTGATCATCATATTATAATCTGCTTTAATTTAACAGGTGATCATGTTATAACCTGCTTTAGTTTAACAGGTGATCATGTTATAACCTGCTTTAGTTTAACAGGTGATCATGTTATAACCTGCTTTAGTTTAACAGGTGATCATATTTTAATTTAACAGGTGATCATATTATAACCTGCTTTAGTTTAACAGGTGATCATGTTTTAACCTGCTTTAGTTCAACAGGTGATCATGTTATAACTTGCTTTAGTTGAACAGGTGATCATGTTATAACTTGCTTTAGTTGAACAGGTGATCATGTTATAACCTGCAGACTAAAGCTACACCTCTTAATGTTCAAAAACAGGCCACACCTTAGACATCAGAGTTTTATCTAAGGTTATAAACGCTGACTCACATTCATTTATTACCAATCCATTCATACAAACACACACTACCTGCTGGCTCCACAGACTAAGTCACAAATACACTGATCACCATGGACACACTAACACACTGTGAACAACATGGTAACACTTACACCATGTGTGTGTGTGTAGCTCAGGTTACACAGATCAGTAGTCAGTCATTGTGTGTCTCCCAGTGTCAGCTGTAGTGCAGTCTGTATATGGACTTGTGTTAGCATATGCTGTTAGCCAGATATAGAACAGGGGGAAATTAACACCACACACACTGTGTCTTTTCCCTCTGATGTAACACAGAGAGGGTGAACACTGTGACTTGGTAAGAAACAGTTTGTCTTCCAGTGTGGTCAGGCTGCAGTGTGTTTCCTTAAGAACAGGTCTGAACACTAATATTTACTCTTCGGTCACACCCTCAATCTGCTCACATGCTCATCATGAGTCACAGTTCAAACGATCTCTACACGTGTTGGGTTCTGAACATTGCCCTACCTGATATCAATCGTCTTTTAAGTTCATCAATAACTTTATATGAAGTTTTTTTTTTTTTAATCAAAGCGAACTACTCCTGATCTGACTAACAATAATTCCATGGAGTGAACAGTATACTGAAGCAGCGAAGCAGAGCATGCTGTACACGAGCTCCATGTACATGTTAAACTAAAGTCCTGACAGAGCTTCATGCAGCACAGGACCAACTACTAACAGCACACGGAGGATCAGGGAGAAAAATCAAAGCAGCTTTCTGATCAGCTGAAGGAGCAGAAAATAAACACAGCACAGACACAACTACACCATTCACAATATTTTCACGTCTTCCAACATTAACGCATGTACAACACTTCCAAAAGTCCGTCACAGAGACTCAGCAGCAGCACATCAGATACTTTCAACACAGCTCCACCTCTCTGCACACATTTCTCTATCAGCCCTGACAGAGGCAGAGTGACACACTTCAGTCTGAGACCATACATTATCATGACACACACACACACTACAGCAATCCTGACTCTCCCTACATAGATTAAAGACAAACAGGATCAGATTCGATTGTGATCACACCCAAACTGAACCATCAGTACGTCTACATGCATGGCTAAGTTGAGCTATGGTTACAGCTTGATTAGGCCATTGAATTGGACTACTACCCTTTTCCCAGGACAAGAGCATCTGGGGAGAATCGATTCATAGAGGAAAGTACTTCTGACTCCACTACAGTAGGAGGCCATATGCCTCCTCCTTTCAGCTAGTTACCACTCAACCTTCTTCAGGTTGACCTATTGCACCACATACCAAACAATTGACAAAGAAGTTAGCCTGTGGCAAACTGGTGGTATGTCAAACTATGAAAGCATTGACAGCTACACAGCACTTTAAATTCTGTGCGTACTGTACAGTATGTTGAAACCTCCGTCTTGTTTTCGTCTATGCATTTATGCTGTTCAACTTCTGGGAAGGAAAGGGAACTGTGGAGCATGCTCAGAAGGGTGAGGCCAGTTTAGGGCAGATTAAGATCTATACATGAAACGTCTCCCAACTGTATTACCAAAGAATGTAGACTTTGAGCAATTCGACTTAGTACCATGTCAGTCAGACTAACTTGTCTACAGTTTTAGTCACACTTATACAATAAATAAATTCATGTAAACATACTGCATGATAATCCAGACTGATTATGGGTTAAACCTGGTCTATTGTAGAGACTGAAGCATGCTTCTGTTTCAAGGGGGAATGTTTATCATCAACCACCTGCTATAAACCAAGTCGTCGTCGTCCCCCCCCCCCATCCAGATCAACTGATTATAGTGACCCTGCAGGATGATCCGAGGTTGTGAGAACATACGCTCACACTTAGTGATTTAAACCCATCTGCATTGTTTTACTTCATTACCAGCACAGCTTTATAAACACTCACTCCAGCAGTAAAATACCTCTGACCACAAAATATTAAACAGAAATCCATTTCATCTTCTTCTCAAACTCAATGTTTTGTTTTAATAGCTGAAAGCTTTACTGAACACTGTGGTACAAAGTCTGTGGTAGCTGACAGTATAACAAGTATTTATTATTCAGTGTGTCCATTACATTTCATCAAGACATCAGACATCAAGTCTATATTACAGTAGACTGTATATAGTACAGTGTATATCAATGTGTAGTTTTTAAAGTAGATTACACTGTACATTACAGTTTGCACAGTGCATAGTAACATGTACTGTGTGTATAATTCAGTGTACTATGTGTTTATAATACAAGGTACTGTGTATACTGTAATGTAACACAGTAATAGTAAAGTGTAATGTTCATGTATGGTACAGTGTGCTGTGCGTGTATAGTGCAGTACACAGTGTAAGTAGGCCACAGCTTCTCTGTCCATCTGAACTATAGTTTAGCTCCAGCTCACATTAAACAGTTACTTTAAACAGCTCACTATCACAAAATGTCCTATCAGGCACAATGTCAGAGTGAGCATTTATCAGGATAGAGACCCGCCGTGAACGCAGCCTCCTCCTGGGCTGGGATTGTTGTTTTCTCCGCTGAGCCCCGCCGCCATTTTCTCTGACAAGCAGCCATGTTGGAGCTAACACAACAAAGAGGAGCGGCCATTTCCAGAGACGAGCTGTGTTCATCCGCAAAAACAGCTGCTGCTCACTTAAACAGCACATCTGGTCTCTGGGTCACAGCTACACTGACATGTGGAGTTAAAAACACGACGACGTGTTTCACCGAGAGCAGAAAACACAGCGTTACAAGGCAGATTAACAAATGTCAGGCAGATTAGCAGGCCTGACGTAAAGCCCACACGGCTGCTGGTCGCATATCTCCTAAACAAACTTTAAGTCACAAGCAGAAACTAAGGCGTCACTGTGTCGTCTGTCTGGAATAACACTGCTTTTGTCACACACACATTCACCCCCTACAGATGATTGAACAGGTTGTTCGTCTTACCTGATATGCGGGATCCCGACTCCTCCCTGCAGGATTTTGTACAGTTTGCTTTCATACAACAGCTGTGGATGCCTGGCTTTCTGTGACTCCAACTTTACTGCTACCTCCTTAAAAAGCAACATAAAAAACATGTACACATTAAAGTTATCAGTCTTAGACCCGAACAGCTACTGACACAGAAGATGCTAACTTTAGTGGTATTTAAGCTTCAGACACTCCAGTTTAACAACATGAGACTTTAATGAGCTACAGCACTGACATTATTCGGACCCCCAACACACAGACTGTATTAGTACCCTGAACGTTACATTACCTCTCCATTTGTGATGTTAATAGCCAGATAAATGTCACCAAAAGATCCGGATCCGATCTTCCTGACCAGCTTGTATTTTCCACCGACTATAAACTCGGCTTTGGAGCCGCTGCTGCTCGCCATGATATCCACCAGATGAACTGTGAATGTTATCGGATAGTGAGTGAGTCCTGTTGGTCCAGCTGATGGAGGTAATTATCGACTCCTGTTCCACACAAAACTATCGATAACCAACGGAACAACTGAAGTTGTATAATCGATATCTTCTGGATTTATTTGATTTATTCATATGCTACCTCCTACAGCGAATCTTCATCGAATAAAACCTCCGCAGAGTAGAAGTATTTACATCCAAACTGAGCCCGGAAAGCTTGCGGCCTTCGGCAGCTAGCTCGATCGGCTAGTCAAAGCTAACGCAGGCTAACGTTAGCATCGAGCTAACGCCGTCGCGACGACCGCGGCGCGAAACCTGTCCGTTCCTCCTCGGTGATGAGGGGCAGAAACCGCCGTTTTAATCACACTTTAGAAGGTTCCGAGTCCTTTTCGACCTTTTCAGTCCTTCGGGGGTGATTTTGTCAAACTTCCAGGGTCGCAACCGTCGGTACAAAGCGCAACCCACTCACTCCGCCATCTTGTCTTCTCTACCCTTCTTTCTCTCAGCTGGTTTCCGTTGGAGGCGATTAGCTAAGGTTATCTCATGACGCCTTCAAGGGCCGTCGGAATATATAATGCCAAGACTCATGACGTGTAGGCCTATTTAAATATTCCTTCATTTATTTGTGAAGAAGACAGAAGAATAAAACAAGACATGTAGACCTACATACAAAATGCAAAGATGGGACTAAAGACATCCATAAGGGTTTGTATAAGGAACCAACCTAACATTTAAATAAAAACAAATGTAGGTAGGCCTGGGCCCATAAAGTCTATAAGCAGCAAGATCAGTTTTATATAGGCTACTGTAGCCTAATATTGAAAAACGGTTTGCTATTAAAAGCTCTTGCTTAATTCCCTTTGAAAATGGAAGGATTTAGGATGTAAATTAAAGAGAAACTGAAACAAAAAAGTGCCAATATATGAGTGTATCAAATATTTTTAATAATTATCGGTTTTGAAATAATGGAGCAGTATGCACCTCCAGCAGAGTAAGTGGCAATTCTGGCAAACTTCTTTAATGAAAAATATGGATTAGCGGCTGGTTTGTTCATGGTCTACAAACCTGAAACCTGGATTACGTACAGTAGGCATCTGGAGGCACATCAACAGAGATCCATCCATCCATTATCTATACTGCTTTTTACCGTACGGAGGGCTAAGGGGGGCTGGAGCCAATCCCAGCTGTCATCGGCCGGGAGGTGGGGGACTGGTCACCAGTCAATCGCAGGGCTGACATACAAAGACAGAGTATCAGCCACACTCAGACCTACGGGTATATAGAGTCAGCAGTTAACCTAACAAGCATGTCTTTGGACTGTGGGAGGAAGCCGGAGTACCTGGTCAGAGAGAACCAACACCTGCATGGGGAGAACATACAAACTCCACACAGAGAGGCTCCTGTCTGACTAGGGAAGATGGACGCACCAACACCATGTGTCCTGGCTGAAGCCAACATCCCCATCATCACTGCTACAATCGGCAAACACCAGCTGAGATGGGCCGGTCATGTATGCCTGACTCTTGTCTTCAAAAACGAGTCCTCTACTCCCAGCTGTGCTCAGGACAGCGTGCAGCAAGTGTAATATTATATGACAATGTGCTGGATGTCAGCTTAGAGAGGTTTAAATTTAGGCTTGAAGATCATGTAACCTCTGCAATGTTTATCGCTGTGATATTCACTGGCAAGGACAAGCCATACACGTTTTAAGATATTTAATGATAGATTATGAACCTAAGTTAAAAGATGAACCTCATTTGATGTTGTTGGCAAATGAACGGCATGAACAGGATACATGCAGCTGTTTGCTAAAGCTAAAGCATATTTTGTTTGGACTTTATTTTGTCTTCTACTTCTATTCATGTTGAGAAATAACACCAACCAACAACCGAGACACATTATCTTATTCGTACAAGGTCCCTGATACCAGTGGTCAGTGAATGCACCCACAGGTAGGTTTCACCTGGGTGTACCATTACTCTCTTTATGTACACCCACTGGGTCAGGTATCCTCATTGTGTGCTGTTATTAAAGCATAAATTGCAGATAATCTTAAAAAAATAATCCTGACACTAACTCGGGGAATACATCTTACTTGAAATGAATCTGATATCATTGTGGATCTGGTCTCACTTGTTAGAAACGTGCATAATAAACCAACATACCATAAATCATTTAAGATGATTTTATCAATCTGAATAAGAGCAGCAGATGAGGTAACCTTTCGTAATGATGTGAGAACATGCATGGATTGGGGCTCCAGGAGACATGTTTTTTCCCCTTCTGAAGTTGTTCCCTGAACGCAGCATCAGGGTGGGGACTGCATTACTGAGGGCATGTAGTTTCAGGGACAGGTGAGCAACTCGAATACAATCCTGAAAGTCCAGTTTGAGCAACCGAGCAGCGTGTCAGAGGGTTTATCAGACTGTAGAGGAAAATCACAGCGTGTCAGATCAGGGGCGGGACTTCTCAGCAAAGTCACTCTGCCGGTGTAGCGTGGTTCATAAATGTAACATCAGATGATAAAACAGAGAGAACAGTATAGTGTGAGCTGATTCCTGCAGGTATGTTCCTGCTGCTGTACTGACACGTACGACACACCCCTACATGCCTGAACACCGCCACATGCAGTCTCCTCATAACTCTTACAGGAACCATCGCTCTGACTGTAATTAAAGTGACGATTCATTTTAAATGTTCATAATGTTCCAAAGTGAAGTGTTTGTGTTGTCCTTACAAAGACACAGCAGAGTGTGTGATATCAAACAGAGACGGGACGAAAAAACACGACGTTCAGTAGAACTTTTCATAATAAAAGATTCATTCAAAATGAATATAGGCCTATGTGGCGTTAACTCTTTATATGTGTGTGTGCGCGTGTGCGTGTCTGTCTGTGTGTGTGTGTGTGTGTGTGTGTGTGTGTGTCTCTGTGTGTGTCTGTGTGTGTGTCTGTGTATGTGTGTGTTTGTATCATAGGTGAGATGTGTGTGTGTGCATGTGTCTGTGTGTGTGTGTGTTTGTTTGTGTATCATAGGTAAGATGCGTATGTATCTGATGTGTCGTGCGTGTGTGTCTGTTTGTGTGTGTGTGTGTGTGTGGGGGGGGGGGGTCAATGTGCATCATAGGTGAGATGTGTATCTGATGTGTGTGTCTTTTGTTTCGTTCCCCAACATGGCTAGGGGGATGAGGGGAGTAACAACAAATTTAAATCCAGGGAAAAGAAATAGGAACTAAATAAGCAAAGTTAAAAAGGATTGAATAACAAACTAAAATAAAATGTACAACACAAAACAAAGAGAAGCCAATCAAATCTTAAACAAAATTAGAACAATAAGACCTCAATCAAATCCAAGCTATTATTATTATTATTATACAGAGTGTGTATAGTGCATTTTTGTATAAAGTGTGTATATAGCCTATGTAACATTTGTGCAGTGTGTATAGTGTGTATTTTTTTGATATCCTTTATTAATCCCTGAGGGGAAATTCTGTTTTACACTCTGTTATTTAGAGACATGCTTCTCACACACATATAGGCACTAATCACACACATGCACAAACAGGACCTGTGGACATGCATTAGTGGAGAGATTCAGAGTGGGGCTGCTACACACTGCTATGCAGAGAGTGCATCAGAGCAGTTGGGGGTTCAGTGCCTTGCTCAAGGACACCTCGGCAGTGCTCAGGAAAGTGCCCTGTCACCTCTCCAGCTGCCAGACAAACTTCCAGATTTGGTTCCTACAGACTGAGCTACTGCCGCCCTGTGTATATTTGTAAAGTATATATGTGTATAGTGTGTAGAATAGTGTGCATGTACAAAGTGTGTATCTGTGTAGTGTGTAGAATACACAGTGCTGCACGGGAGGATCCTGGTTTGAATCCCCGTCTGACAGGAGCCTCTCTGTGTTTGCATGTTCTCCCCGTGTGGGTTCTCTCCAGGTACTCTGGCTTTCTCCCACAGTCCAAACACATGCTCGTTAGGTTAAATGGAGACTCTAAACTGCCCGTAGGTGTGAATGTGAGTGTGGCTGGTTGTCTGTCTCTATATGTCAGCTCTGTGATTGGCTGGTGAACAGTCCAGGGTGTAACCCCGCCTCTCACCCAATGACAGCTGGGATAAGCTCCAGCCCCCCACGACCCCAAATGGGAAAGCGGTGGATGGATGGAGTTTGTGCTGCCAGTCTCCTGCTCTCCCCACCTGCTGCTGATCCTCCATCAACAACAACAAACACTGAATATGAAATAATCAGACACTCATTTAAAACTAAATACACTCTTCTAGAAATTACACTTTTGTCTCCAAACTTTACAAATACAAAACAGCGATCTTTCCACCATTGACTGCATGCACACAGTTTCGAACACGTTTCTACTTTTCTAATGATATGTTTGAGTATTGCACTGTTCTTCTTTCTCTTTATTTTTGTCCTTTTATTCCTCCTCCTCTCTCTCCTCTTCATCTCCCCCTTACCCTCTGCCATATCTTTCTCTTCACTTTCCTCCTCTACCCCTTTCTCCTGTTCCTTATTTCTCCCCCTCCTCTTGCTCCTTTGACTCTCTTCTCCTTGTCGAGGAAATTACTAAGACTTGACTCCATACAATAAGACTCAGCTGACTCAGATGGCTTGCGTTGATGAAAGTTTATACATCAGATGAATACTCATGAGGAGACATGATTCAACATCACACTTCTGTACTCGTGTCTTGCTCAATCACATCTCCCGAACTTTTCAAAAGGCTTCGCCTATATCCTAAAAGACATTATCATTATCAGGGTCACATTGACCCACCTAGACTAAACTGTGATGTCTATAACACTGGAGCAGACAACAAGTCTACCAAACATCCTTACAGATATCAGGAAGAACAGTTGACACTCTCTAAGCTGTACTTGGTTTCTAATAACAGCTGAACTCTGTCAGCTCTGACTGACATTAGAGAACAGTGAATAAACCTAATGACATCTGTACATTATAATCTAAGTAACTACAGAAATTCCACCACACTCCTCTCCTACCTGCAACTCTTTCCACCACTTTCTCCACCTTCTCTTCCGCCTCCTGCTCCTCCCTCTCCTCTTGCTCCTCTCCTTTTTCTCCTCTGGCTCTTTCCCTTCTACCTTCTCCTCTTTCCCTTGTACCTCTTTCTCCTTCTTTTGCTCTGCCTCTTTCTCCCTCTCCTCTTTCTCCTCTGCCTTCTCCTCTTTTTACTTCTCATTTTCTCCTCTTTCTCCCTCTCCTCTTGCTCCCTCTCATCTACCTTCTTCTTCTCTTTTTACTTCTAATTTTTATCCACTTCCTCCTATTCCTCTGCTGCTTTCTCCCTTTTCTCTCACTCCTTCTCCCTTTTCTCCTGTGCCTCTGTCTCCCCTTCCTCTATCTCTTCATCCTCTGTATCTCCACTTTCTCTTGTTCCTCCTTTCCTCTATCTCCACTTTTCTCGTCCTCCTCTCCCTCTCCTCGTTCCCCTTTCTCCTCTACCTCTTTTAACATCTAATTTTTCTCCTCTGCCTCTTTCTCTCTTTTCTCCTCTTTGTCATTTTCCTGTCTTTCTCCGGTACAACCATCTCCTCATCCCCTGTATCTGCGCCTTTTCCTCCTTCTCCCCTTCCTCTATCTCCACTGTTCTCGTCCTTCTCTTCCTCTCCCTCTCCTTTTTCTCCTCTGTGTGATCAACACAGAGAGTGCACCTCTCACATCAGATGATTGATAATTGAGTCTTTCAGTGTACACTGAAATAAACACACAAACATGCGTTCAGTGATGAATGACGAAGGGGGTTTGATGTTTTGCAAAAAGTGAGAGTCTGAGAATATAGTTGTGCAAATGTGTGCAGTTTATGACAATGTACTTCTCTGAAACAATAAATTATTATCAAGTAAAAAAAAAACACACCCAAAAAACTTTGAGCCCTGACTCTGATATTATTTAAATAAATAAATATTATCTTTAAGCAAAATGTAAGCTCTCTGTTTCACCAGCAGGGGGCGCTCTAGTTTAAAATAAGAACACTTTATCCCCCATGTCACAGCTAATAAGGTAATCTCGCCTCACCTGTTCGCTTCTCATATATTTGACTGCGTGTGTGTGCGTGTGTGTGTGTTGATTTGGATATTTGTTCTTTCCGGGATTCAGTTGGGTAAATATATGACTCATACCATCTGCTGGGTCTCACCTATAGGTCTCACCTGGCCTTGACCCAGCAGCCAATCAGAGGGCAGCAGCAGGAGGACAGACAGGTTTTGTGTATTCACAAAATACACACATATTGTGTATTCGCACACACGCGCGCGAATACACTGTGTGTGTGTGTGTGTGTGCGTGCGCGCGCGCGTGTGTGTGTGTTTCACTTGTTGGTGAGAAACAAACAGCTGCTGTTTCAGAAACACGTAGTCACTTTGAATCATGAAGCTGCCTGTGCTGCTGTGCTCCGTGCTGCTGCTCTCTGTCTGTGGTGGTGAGTCCGATAAGTGTCAAAGTCTTATTTATACCTGTTTGAACTACAAACCTTTTAAACAACAAACGATTTAAACTACAAACTGTTCGAACTACAAACTGTTCCAACTACAAACAACTGAAAGTAAAATCTGTTTCAACAAGAAATCTTTCAAACTGTAACATATATGTCAACTACCATCTGTTGAACTAAAAACCTTTTTTTGAATCTAATTATATCAACTGTAAAACTGTTTAAACTACAAACTGCTTAGGCCGCAAACTCTTAGAACTACAAACTATTAAAATGACAAAATATTAGAAATATTTGTTGGGAACTGTGTCAAACTATTTAAACTACAAACAAACTATTAGAACTACAAATTGTTTCAATAACAAACCTACAAACTACAATTTGACCGTGGAGAAACATTAAGCTGTTGTTACTTTTTAGTTTTATTGTTAAATTCAAAGTGAGTCAGAGTGGAGTTGAATTCTGTTTAATAATAAATTAATTAATGATCAGAGCACTGAGGGAGCGCTAAAGGTTTTAGTTTTATTGATCAGAGACTTAAGTTTTAAACATAATCACAGATTAAACTTGTTTATGTTTGTGAAGATGCTGCTGAGTCAGCTGTTTTAAACTGCTTTAATCCACCATGTGGATTTAAAGCCGAGCAGATCATCCTGATCCTGACATCGACCTGATTATTATCAACACTTCTAAAAACAGACCACATTGTGAAATGAACAGATATTTCCTCTGACGACATGGAGGCTGAAAACAGGAGGAGCAGAGTGACGCTGCGCTGGGTCACATTCCTCTGAACAAAACACTCTATACTGCTCATATTGTCACACAATAACAGGTGTGTGTGTCTGCAGAGATACACACTGTGATTGTGCTTTATTTTTCACTTCATTTCCTTAATGAAATCCACTTAAACCGTCTTTTTGTTGTCATACTGTTGTCACCACGTATGTGAGGAATGTTTTCTTGTGAAAAAGCTTTAGAGGAAGTCAGTAAACTTTTCGAAGCAGAGGAGCAGGAGGAGGGGTTGTGGCAGGCGGGCGGGCAACATCAGCCAATTTGATTTCAATCATTTTTATTTTTAAATGTTACAAATCATTGAGTGTCATGTCTTTGCTTAGTCTGTCAAAGCACTTTGTAAACATCTGTTGTTAAAGGTGTTACATAAATGAATTGTCACAAAATCTTAACAGACGTTATCTGAGGACAGAGCAGGTGCAGAGCGTACTCTCTGTTATTTTATTTACAGACACAACATGAATCCACCATGAGACAGAAAAACCTTGAAGAGAACCAGACTCATTGGAGAACAGAGTCGATCTGCCTCACGTGTCAAACCTCCATCCTCCTCTTCTTTTAGAGAACAAAACGAGTCGTTTTACTCACATGAGGTGAACGACAGAAACCTCCTCATCTGCTGCTTCTTATCAGAGTGACCAGGGAAGACTGACACGCTGATTTGATTTCACACGAGCACAAAAACAAAAACACAAAAGCTGCTGAACATTTTTCTGGACTTTTTCACTCCGACTCTACCCAGACTTTCTCCTGCCAGCCTCGTCGTAAATTTTCTGTGTGAAGTCGGTTTGAGCTGATGTGAGAACGCAAAAGGATATACTCAGGAAGACTCATATCCTTCGACTGGTGAAAAAACTGTATGCGTGCTGGTGGTGCGATCTCTGTGCATTTATCAAAAATGCTTCCGTATGCTTTCTGTTCGCCCATATGTTTTTCTCTGCTCTTCTGTTTATCGTGGTCAGCGTACAGACAGCATTGATATATCAGGGCAAACATTCCCATTATAGTGTTGGACTCTGTCCCTTCATCCACCTCTTCTGCGTTGTTCTCCGTCAGGTCCTGTTTCCTCTCAGGACTCAAACAATCATACAGTGTGAACAGTAACTCAGGAAGACTTCAGGGGCAGTCTGCCTGAAACTTTCTGTAAACATGGCAGCTAAAGATATAACTGAGTATTGTGATAAGTATTGTCAGTGTTGTGATAAAAGGTTCTCGTGTGTGTTTGTGTGTTTTTGTAGTTCTCTCTCAGGAGAACGAGACTACAGCTGGAGAACAAGAAAACCAAACTGAAACCAGAGAGGTGAGTCTGCTCTCCTAACTCCTCCTGCACACATGTTGAAGTGTCGGAGAACAAACTGATCCCTGAACGACTGGCTGCCGTGAATTAATTGTGTGTGTGTGTGTGTGTGTTCAGGCCCAGTGTGATGGGTTCAGTCTACCATCTTGCCGCAGGGATTACAATCCTGTGTGTGGCGATGATGGATTTACCTACAGCAACGAGTGTATGCTCTGCTTCTACAACATGTAAGACACACACACACACTTCATCACACATTATCAGCCTGTTTCCGAGTCTCCTCGCTTCTGCTCCAGCTGTTAACATCTGACCTCTTGACCTCTTGAGACATACTGTATTCCTGACGAGCACAAATCTGAGATGAGTTTGATGGCAGTCTGATTTTGTAGTCCTCTCTGAGTGTGTTCACATTAACTTATTGTTGGGAGGTAAAGCAGAGTGTCGTCAGCGTACAGAAGCATTGACGCATAAGTGTGTCTGAAACTGGAGCATGTTGTAGATGAAGAAGTTTCCTTCCTGTCAGCCTGTTTTAAATTATAAATAGAATATCAATCTCTTTGTGAATCTTCTCCTTACAAGACGATCCAATTTGAATCTCAATCATAGGTTACGATTCGATTCGCTGACAATTCATTAAAATAAAAATAAAAATTTAGTCGGTTCTATTTGATTCAATACGGTTTGATTCAAAGCCCTAGAAATAACACAGTCCCTAGATGCTGTGATAACCAAAGACTTAACAGAGTTGTGACTGAGATAAGTGTTCAGGTCTGCTGGTGCTGCCGCTTGCTAATGGTAGCATCTTACTTTGACACTTTTCTCTACAGCATACAGATGGGCAGACTTTTTGAGAGTTTTCCTTCCTTCATATTTAGTCCACTTGACTTTATTTCTGAGATGGAGAACTCTAAATCGCTTCTCCAATTTCGAACCTCGTTCACTGCCAACTAGTGAGCCACCTGCCGTTAATGATATTCTCGTGTAAAGGAAAACCCTAACATAAGAGTCCCAAGAGATTGAATATGGGGAGCCCAGGATGCAAAGCAAGCTAAGAGAACAAGAAGCAAAACCTCTGTTAACTGTATGATAACGTTAAAATCTGGCTGTTGACTGGTCACACTTTTACTGATCGAGGGCTATGAAGAGGCAAAAACTCAAAACATCTCCAGTATCCGCTTATATTTACCACTTGGGGAAAGAACGGGAACGGTTCATCAAACACGAAGACTTGATACAAAATATATCCAGTGAAAGTGGATGTTTAAAGTTGCAGGAAGTTTTATTATGTATACATATGACTTTAAAAACATGTAATGACTATCATTAACATATACTGTTGAGCCTATGGTCAATGACGCTATTCCATGTGCGCTCTGCACACTAACTTATGCTCTCGCCTCACCACTAAAGGCGGTAATGAATAAAATGCAGAAAAAATAAACAAACAATGCAAATAAAATAAACTTAATTGAGGTTTCAACAGGCTAAAAAAACGATGCACTCTGATTGCTGACTTTTAGATTGTTTACTGATTCAGATCAGTTTATCTTTGCACCCCTAAACATCAAGGCTTGCGTAGAATCCGGGGGAACAAACAGGGACTGCAGATTCATCATCATTGAACTTGGGTACATTTTGGGAAATGCTTGATTACATTTTTAGTGAGGCTAGTTCTAAAATTTGTTAGGCTGCTGATATCTGTGAGTTTTAATGGTTTACATAATTGAAAACACCTCATGATTTACGCTGAGATGCAGCATGTGAACAGAAAAAAAAAAAGGGACTGGGAACAGGGCCTTGAGGGACACCAAAACTAAAGTAGATTTCTTAAAGAGAAAGAAAAAACTTCGGTTAGTATAAATATTCAGAGATTACAGCTCTTAAAATATTTTTATTTAAAGTATTTGACCTTCAAACGAATATTCACACAACCACTGACATGTTCTGGGTTTTTTTTCTACAGGGAACACCGTTTGAAGGTGAGAGTGCAGAGTGAAGGGATGTGCTCACCTGTAGTGTGACACACACTCTCCTTGTGTCAGTTACCTGTAACTCACCTTCTTAATAAAGTCACACACATGTTGTCTGTGTTTGTTTCCAGTCCTTAAATGTGATCTGTACTCTGGTGAATGAAACATAAAGTTAATGAAAACCCTGACCTCCATGTTTGGCCTCCTCTTTTCCTTCAAACACCTTCTTCATGTGTTCGCCTGTTCACGCGGCAGAAAAAGGAGCACACTCAAACAGTAACAAATCCTCAGATGCATGACCCAAAAATGCTTGCAAGAAAAACAGAAAAGTAGGACACTCAATGTCCTTTAACGATTTATAATCTGGGTAGAGCAGCAGCCTTCAGATCAACAGCGGAGGCGTTTCAACACAAAGCCTTCATCAGCGTTCACACCCATCATTACACTCTTTACTCAGAGATGAAGTCATCTGTGTATATTTACATGAATGGAGCAACAGCTCCATTCATGTAAATCCAGGAAGTGAAGCCACAACATCTAGAGCTCCCCCTGCTGACTGGCTGCATTATAGGTCATTAACCCCTCCTCTTTGTTAACAGATGAGAGATAGATCAAACAATAAAGTTAACGTACACATAAAATTAATGGTTCTCAAACATGGATTCAGTAAATGGTGATTGCGCTTTGACGCTGCAGGTCACTAATACACTGATGGTAGAGGTTTGGTAAAGTGACCATCAGAAGTAACTAATCCCATTCAACGTGGCTGCAGGAGCTGGGGATTGAACCCCTGACCTTTCGATGAGGAGACAACCCACTCCACCAACTGAGCCACAGCCCGTCATTATAGTAAGTATACATCATGCTGATTTACTTCTGAGTGTGCATTTTTTTGAGTAATTTACTTAGTTATTTGATGCTATAAAAAGTAGATGTTACATCATGATTGGCAGCTCTGTTGACCAATAAGGCTCATGCAGCGCTGTGTGCACCGGATTATAGGCTCGTCGTTCAAAGGTAATCCACCAGGATTGATCCTATACGATAGGATCAGATTTTAAAGTTTGGTTGTTCAAAGGATCACATAATTGGATAAAATCAGGTAATCCGCTGCTAGGTTCAGGATCACTTTGATTAAAAAAAACAGGATAATCCTGATCCTAGCAGACGGGATTATGAGGAACAAATGTAACAAAAACTCATCAAGTTGTCAAAAAAGACAACTAGAACTGATAAAAATAGTGAAGAGAATAATCAACTGCATTTTGACACCAAACAAAATATTTATGTCATATATTTTATCAATTTATTTCATGCATTTGATTGTGATGGACGTATTTCTTAAAGGCATAAGGTATAATCTGGACTGAATTTTTAGTATTTGTTAAAATTATAAAGAAATAAAATATATCATATGTCATTTTTAAAATGCTTTTCCTTCATATTGTTCCATCTTAAAATAATATCACGTCATGTGACCTCATGTTGGCTGCTCAAATATTTTGAATTTAAGTGATTGCACCCCCACTAGTCATGAGAAAGACGCGCTTTAATAGAAAATACAGGATTTAATTGACAATTAAATATTCCACCAAATAATTATTAATATAAAAAATAACATGATTAAAATGCACATAGACTCAGGGTGCGTTCGAATTGTCCCTCCTATCTGCTTTCACTATCCACTTTACCTTAAACCCCGGGAAAACGTCATGAGGTCAAGGAAAGATGTTAGGAGAATTCATAAAGGACTTAAGGAAAGGCGATCTCGTTGCTCTGACAATCCGACCGCATTCTCCACTAGGCGACGTCATTAAATGCGACGGGCCGGCGGAGGTTAATGACGTGGGTCTGCCGTGTTGAAACTACAATGTTCAGAAAATGGACTACAAAAAACGCATCTAAAAAACTTTCAACTTTGTCTTCTTACCGGTGAAATAATCCTAATTACCACAAAGAAATATAGAATACCAGGCTACAAGTAACAAAAGTGAAACCATCAGCTTCCTGTCCAATCAGAAATCAACATCAACATAAATATGATTGTATGAAATTAATTGTTACATTTATGTAAGATATAACCTACACATAATGTTTTAAGCATACAAATGTACAACTGCACAAAACATTCTTAAGTGAATGAAATACGTTAAATAAAACATCATCTGGTTTAAAATGTCTCTTATCTTTTTATCCTTTACATGATCTGTGTCACTTTACGATCAACGTTAATGTTCCTGAACGGTCGGATGCGCGACTCGCTTTAAATGTTGCGGCCGCAAGGAATTGTGGGGCGTCATATCTCATCTCCTTTCGTAAAGGAAGGTCCAGTGTATCCTATGCTAAAGGAGGTTATAAAGGAAGCATTGACCCACCTTTCCTTAACTTTTAGAGAATTCGAACGGCTCTTATCATGGCCGCCACTTAAATACTTCCGGGGTTAAGATAAAGTGGATAGTGAAAGGAGATAGGAGGGATAATTCGAACGCACCCTCAGTGTACTTCTAGTGATGAAAGATACAAAAGAAAACTCAAAGTACTTGGTCTTTTTCGATTCTGTTTTCAAATTGTGTGGATTTTGGCGCCCCCTGCTTTTCTTTTAAAGCACTGGTAATCCAGATTTGGTGATCCTTAAAAGTCTGTGTCTGGATCAGGGTTATTCTATCCAGTTTTTCTTTGAACAACTGGGATGAAAGTGAGCCGGATGACATGATCCTGAGAGAAAAAAAAAACTGAATTACCAGATCCGGATCATTCTTTTGAACAACCATGCCCAGAGTACAAGAGGAACAGTGAGAGGAAAGGTAACAAACACAAGAGTCTTTGAACTTTCCATGACTGTGAGTGTCTGCTACAAACCAACACCAAAATCTGTTTTACTGTGTTCTGTGTCACCTTTGACCTTTTGTTATGAAGTGTAATTTGTTTTCATTTGAGAAGCAGTGTTACATCAATGTCTCGATGCCACCAGCCAGATCCCTTTGCTCCCACTGACATCACCAGTGTAATATGTCTACACGGGGTATTTTGGCTTCATTCTCAACAATGGAATCAGACAGAGAAGAGCTGTCCATATTGATATACAGTCAATGTGTTAAATATCCTTTCACCTTACAGTTAGTTGTTTGATCCTGTCTCTTTGACCAGAGCAGAGACAGCGTGGGTTTCAACTTATTTTGAACATGCTTTTTAAAGGAGTTAAATTAATTAATAAATCAAGCTGCACGCTGGTTCACTGGTTAGAGCTGTTACCTCACAACAAGGAGGTTCCTGGTTTGAATCATCGTCTGACAGGAACCTCTCTGGGTAGAGTCTACATGTTCTCCCCGTGCATGTGTGGGTTCTCTCCTTGTACTCCTCCCACAGTCCAAAGACATGCTCGTTAGGTTAACTGGTGACTCTAAATTACCAGTAGGTGTGAATGTGAGTGTGTCTGGTTGTCTGTCTCTATATGTCAGCCCTGTGATTGGCTGGTGACCAGCCCAGGGTGTAACCCTGCCTCTCGCCCAATGACAGCTGGGATCGGCTCCAGCCTCCCATGACCCCAATCAGGAAAAGTGGTATAAGTAATGGATGGGTGGATAATTAAATAAACGACAAAAGTACAGTGTTTTAATCATTGCGTACACACTTAAATTAAAAAGTGTGATACACAGTTATGAAATTCGACACACATTGATCAAAATGTCTGCCCAGATTTGCACAACTAAATGCACATTCTCAGCTCCCTCACTTTTTTCAAAACACTACAAACACACAATTCTCTGTGATTAAACACATCATTCAAAACCGACACCATGCATGTTCATTTTAAACACTGCCAGAAACAGATCAAATCAAGGGTCTCCACCTGTGCTGCAACCATAAAAAAGACATCATCCAACATCGTGCACATTCAAAATAAAATCAATCATCAGTCAATCTTTATCTGTATAGCGTCAACTCATAACAATATCTGGAGACACTTTACAAAAGAGCAGGTAAAAGACCGTACTCATTGTTATGTTACAAAAAGCAGGTAAAAGACCTTACTTATTGTTATGTTACAAAAAGCAGGTAAAAGACCGTACTCATTGTTATGTTACAAAAAGCAGGTAAAAGACCTTACTTATTGTTATGTTTTACAGACACTGCAGGGACACATGAATTTTTAAACTCTGAGCCTCAGAGCAGACAGGAGCAGCTCGTACTCTGTATGAAGAACTCGGGATGTGCCGCTGACAGTCTGATCGGTTCAAAAACAGTCTGCAGGGACGTGTGATGTTTACCTCACATAATAAATCATGCAGTCTGATTCAGTCGTATCAGTTTGTTTTTTAACTGCACAGACAGTTCGCCAAAACGTGTTATACCAATCCTGATGAGGCTCTCTAAGGCTGCCTGTTAAAAATAAACATACATTTCATTCAGGAATACTCTCGTCATAGAGTTAACCATTTATTGCTCTGATGGTTTGTACAGTTGTATTTGGCTGTATTGGTTCTGCTCTTAGCTCTCAGCAGAATCAGTGCAGCATGCCACAGATTTTGCAAACCTTTATTTCCCCCCTTGGGGACGTGCAGAACAGAACCTGAATGTGCATGTAATGATACTGACATCTTGCAGACATAACAATCAAACAATTCATCCTAGAATATAAAATGTGCTGACGTGAGCTGGTGGAGGTCGGGGTGGTGGTCTAGCAGTAGAGTGGATGTGATGCAGGAGGAGTGAGAGGCAGAACGGTTTAAATAGACCGCCTTGTTGTCAGAGCGTGATGATGATTGGTTGGCATTGGGGTGGTTCTCAGATCAGCTGATAGCCACTTGTAGGACTACCGTATTCTGCCTGCTCTAACGCAGGGCTCCATTTATGATCAACACAGTGAACCCTCAGATGACGTAAGAAATGTAACTGTCTTATTGACGTTCAGGACAAGATGGTTGACATCATAACAATTCACAAACCTTCAGATCTCTAAAACGTAGTCGGATATGTTACCACATATTTCAGGTGAATTAGGACATATGGTTAATATGTCTCTACTGTCAGAAGGTGTTTATGTATAAGTAGAAAACGTTTACATGGAATTACTGTTTTGATGTGATGTATCGATATATCGGGGTGCGGCTGTGGCTCAGTGGTACTGTCAATTGTCTCTTAAGGTCAGGGGTTTGATCCCCTGCAGCCACATGTCTATAATAATGTGTTGGGCAAGACGCTTAACCCCAAGTTGCTCCCACTGCTTTCGGAGGCGGCGTATAGAATCATTCATTCATTTTTGTATTTGTTCCGTACATGTCAAAACACACAACAGAAAAAAAAAGAAAGAGTCACAATTTATCCCAATCCATGTATGGAAAGGAGCAGGGAGAAAAATAATTCTTGTTTTGCCTGCCCCTTACTCAAAAAGCAAACAAGAAATATCTGGATGGTCTGTCCAATTACAATCACTGAATGAATATCATGCCAACGTAAAACAAATCTGACAATTCAGTCTTCACTTCCACAGAAATTAGAAGGAAAACACACACAAAACACTAAAACTGCCACTTTCATACAGTCTGATCACTTTCTCCTTGTACATTTTCTTAAACTGAAATATCTGAATACAACCTGTCAAATCATTATTTAAAGAATTTCACAATTTGATTCCGATTACAGAAATAAACTTCTGTTTTGAAGTTGTCCGTACAAACTGGTGCTTAAATTAAATGTTCTCCTATGCTCTTCATCTTCTCAAGTACAAACAAACATCTTTTGTAAACTCTCTGCTAATACTTTGCTCTTTGCTCTGAACAGAACTACAAGTGTCTGTAACTCAACTAAATCTTTCAGTTTCAATAAACCTGATCTTAAAAACAGCCCGTTGTTGTGCTCTCTATGGTGGACTTTATGAATAACTCTTACTGCTATTTTCTGTAAAATAAATAACTTACCCCACACTTCAACACAATAACTAAAATAAGTGAACAATACGAAATCCTCAGTACTTTATAATCCAGCAGAAACTTTGCTTTGTTTAAAACAAACGAAGATCTTGGACACCTTTTTTTTTTACATATATTTGATTTCCACGTTAATTTATCATCCACGATCACACCCAAAAAAAAGGAATACTAACTCCATCTATAGACAACAAAACGTTTTCATCCTTATTTTGATCTGCAATAATCATAAACTTAGTTTTATTCAAATTGAAGGATAACTTATTTTTGTCAAACCATGCTTTTAATTTGATGAGTTATTACTGATCTTTAATCAGCAGCCTCCACCATCAGTGTGTGAATGTGTAGGTGTGACCTGAGGTGTAAAAGCACTTTGAGTAGTCAGAAGACTAGAAAAGAAATATACAAGCTCAAGTCCATTTACCGTATTGCTGTGTTCTGATATCTGTTTATTTATGTTTTTAATGCTCTTTGACATTTTAACACAGTATTAAGTATCTTTTTAAGAAGGCCCTATAGTTTCAGGAACTGTGTTTTAAATTCAATAGTGAAAAAAAAAACTGTGTTTTCAAGTGGAGCCCAATGATCTGATAACCATGCTGTTGATGACCAGGAGGGGGCGCTGCAGCACACCAGACTCTGCTGATCATTTCAACCTGCAGTAAACCAAAGTCTCATATTCATCAGAGGAAAACCTGCAGGTCTCAAAGAACTGGTGCTAACAGAGGCACTGGCTGCGAACCAGCTCTACAACTGGTTTAATGGAAAAATGGCGTTTGATGTGTGGATGATTCAGGACACTCATTAAAGATGGACAAAAAAATCACGTTTTAGACGCATCATAAAGTAGTAAAATAACAAGTATGTACTTACTGTTGTTCACCAGCAAGCGGGGCTGCTGACACATTTCTATTAAATGTATTTAGTCCTTTTTCTATTTGAAGGTTTTTCCTTGTTGTAGCTCCAGGGTGTGTGTGTGTGTGTGTGTGTGTGTGTGTGTGTGTGTGTGTGTGTGTGTGTGTGTGTGTGTGTGTGAGCGAGAGAGAGAGAGAGAGAGAGAGAGAGAGAGAGAGAGAGAGGGGCTCGAGCTCCAGCCAGACAGACGCCAGTGGAGTTGTAAGAGCGCGTTCACGCTGCACGCGCTGCTCTGATCCTGGACCTGCAGAGGACCAGGACTAGTGTCAGAATCAGAATCAGGATCAGGAACAGGAGAGCTGGACCTGCCGGTGTTACATCAGAGTTTTATAGATTATTATTAATAACTTTGTTTAAAAGAAGAGAGAGACAAACATCCTGCTGCTCATACCGGGGCTCTGTGTCGGATCATCGTAGTGATGAGGAGTAATACAGAGGGCTGTTAGTTTATTGTGTGTGTGTGTGTGTGTGTGTGTGTGTGTGTGTGTGTCTGATCAGTGTGACTTCAGTTAAATCTCTGATTTTTCTGTTTGGTCTTCTGCATGAGCTGTGTGTCCTTTCTTCAGCCGAGCAGCTGCAGCTCTGCAGCCTGTGCTGTGCTCAGTTTGTGTGTGTGTATGTGTGTGTGTGTGTGTGCGTGCGTGAGATAGAGAGAGTGAGAGAGCCTGTGTGTGTATGTGTGTTCTCGGTGTGTGTGTGTGTCAGTGTGTGTGCGGGTTATTCACAGAGCTGCTATGCAGACTGAGTGGAGCCACAGTCAGACAGCCTCAGTGTGAGCTCACAGAGAAACGCTCACAGCTGACAGAGTTCTGCAGGAGGACTCGTGCAGGACAGCAGATGTTTCTCACTCTGTGGACTGATGTGGACAGATGTGGATTATTCAGGATGCAGATCTGCAGACTGAGAGGAGCCACAGTAAACTTGCTGCAGTAACATCCTGTCAGAGCAGGATTCAGACTTTAGGATCCTCAGATTGTGGATTACTGAATGGACTCTAAAGTTTCACAGACTCAGACCTGAACTCAAGTCCTCGGACCTGCTGATAGAAATGGAATTGGTGTTTGCACCAGGTGGAGGTTTGGACAGATGACAGCGGATACAACTTTTTAATTCAGACCTTTTTGAGGTTCAATTTCAGCTCCACGTGTTGATTTAATTCTGCTCTGTTGGTGACGTTATAATCAGAGGATGAAGAACCTGGATCAACTGAGTCAGACCTGGAACAGGTCCATCAGCAAAGACCCGGTCCTGGTCTCTAATAAGAAGTTCAAGAGGAAGTCCCGGGAGCCTAAAAGACTGTGCAGTGACCCGGAGCCTGACAGGACCAGGTCTTTTCCTGCAGACGGGTCCGATGTGGACTCTGCAGATGAGGCGGCCCCCCTGCGGAGACAGCTGATGCAAGCTGAGTCCAGGTCTGCAGGGATCCTGTCAGGACTCACAGAGGGCGGGGATACTCGAGCTCACAGCGGGGCCTTAGACATGAGGATCGGCATAAACGTGCCTTCCATCACCCCCAAACTGACCCAGGTCCCGTCCCCCTCACTCTCTGAGATCTCCCACTGGTCTCCCACCATCTCCCAGCCCCTGACACACAGACTCAGACCGGGCCACAGGTCCACCTTCTCTCTGTCAGCATCCACCAGCAGCAGCCTCTCTCTGGAGCCCGCACTGACAGGACTGCCTATGCCCAGAACTCCCCAGTCCTCCCAGAGTCAGGAGCACCTGGAGCCTCAGGCCCAGTCCCCAAGGGTGAGTGTGGACTAGGGATGTTACCAGCTGACCGATTCCTTGTCAGAAATGTAAATTCAGACTGAGCAACTAGCCTAAAGCTAAGAAAACACTTTGCACTTTGCAAGTGTCTGCAGGTAAACGATGTGATTTAGTTTTCAGAGTGTAACAAACGTTAGCAGGGCTAACACCGCTAGCCGTCAGTCAACTGGTGGGGAGTAGATGTCCACATATCTGTGCTGAATGTAGTAACTCATTGCTCTGGTCGATATCACAGCTTAACCTGACACAGCCTATATCAAACTTTATCTTAATTTTATAGATGAAAACACTGACAGAGCCGCGCTGCTGCTA